TTCGCTCCAGGGCCTCCTCTCCGAGACGATCTACTGCAACCCCTACCTGCAGCAGATGTGCCCCCCTGGCGACGTGGCGTGCCCGCAGTGTGGTTCGGACAGGTGCGAGTGCCCCGGCAGTCCAGGTCCGAGCCCCAGCCCAGACACCAAGTGCAGCTGGGAGGAACACGTGAACAGCGACGGCAACAATTTGCTGCAAGCTCCCTGGTCCCAGGACCCGCAGGCGTGCTGCAACCACTGCGGCGAGCAGTCGGGGTGCGCGGCGTGGACCTTCATTCAGGGCAGCCACGAGTGCTGGTTGAAGAGCTGGGTGCCGTCCAGGGACCAGTGGCGCTGGGACGACTCGGCCGTCAGCGGCAGACTGGGAGGTCGGTGAGCTTCTGCAGTTTGGGCGCGGCCTGCGCACAATACTGCAACCGTGCTGGTTCATCTGGTCCGACACCGTCTGTTGGCGTGCCAGGCTTGCCAGTGCCAATAGAGCGCTGGAAGTACAGTGTGCATGTTTGAGGAAGCGCTCCGCCGTCTGTGCGCCCCCTCGTTGAAAGTCCCGGTTGCCTTGGGCACGTCTTGCCATTTCGCGCCACGTCGCGTTGACATTGCCATCTTCCCATCGAGGACCTATGTCCAGATTTGTGGAGAGGCTTCAAGTTGATGACCACATGGAGGAGCGAAGAGGTCAACAATCGTCAATTGACGCCATTCGCCCAGACAGCAGCGATGGCCAGGCGAGTCGCCTTGACCAGGGAGGCGTAGAAGCATGCAGTGCACGAAAGAAGGAGAAGAAGCCGTCAAAACAAATGTGTGGATCAGCCTGAGCATAACCATGAGTGCACCTAATATTTGTTCGCGGGCCTGTCGAACGAGGGGTAGGAGGGGGACAAGGATAAGGATACTGATGATGATGATGATGATGATGATGATGATGATGATGATGATGATGATGATGATGATGATGATGATGATGATGATGATGATGACGATGATGATGATGATGATGATGATGATGATGATGATGATGATGATGTCGATACTGATGATGGCGATGATGATTCCAATGATACTGCTGCTAATGATGATGCTGATAGTGAGTGTGATGATGAGTATGGCAATGGCGATGGCGATGGTGATGATGATGCGGATTTTGACGGCGATGATGCTGACGATAACGATGATGATGACGATGCTGGTAAATATGATGACTAGGACGAGGATGATGATGATGATGATGGTGGGGAAGGCGATTGTTCGGATGATGAGGACGATGATCATGATGATGCTGATGCCGTCGTTGCTCCTTATGATGCTGCTGCTGATTCATGATGATGATGCTGATGCTGTTGATGCTGCTGATGATGGTGTCGTCCACGATGGTGCTGAAGATGCGGCTGTCCATGAGGTTGATCATGATGACGGCGGCGGCGGTGATGATGATGGCGATGATGTTCATGATGATGGTGATGGCTATGTTGATGATGCGGATTATGACAAAGACGGTGACGGTGATGATGAGGTTTCTGATGATGCTGATGATGGTGTTGGTGACCCTGATGATAATGATGATGGTGATCATTATGATAATGGTGTTAAGGAAGAGGAAGAGGAAGAGGAAGATAATACGGAACGAGGATGAGAAGGATGAACAGGAGGAACCAGGATGGAGGAATGATCAGGAGGATGAGGAGGACGAGCAGACGGAATATGAGTTTGACAGAAGACGCCCCCCACTGAATTCATTTTGACTCTTAGGTGGGAGGAGGAGGAGGAGGAGAACGAGGAGGAGGAGGAGGAGAGATAGAAAGCCGGCGAGGAGGAGGAGGAGGAGACACCAGTTGGAGGAGGAGGAGGAGGAGGAGAAGGAGGAGGAGTTGGAAGACGAGGATCCGAGAGGAAAAAGGCGACGGCGACGACGACGATTCAACCAGAAAAGGCCTTCGCTGATGCAGACCCTTCGTCCTGTTAGCCTCTTGGAGCCCTCTTGGGGCCCTCTGTGGGCTATTTCGAGGTCCGTTGAGGCCATCTTGTGGCTCTCTTGGGGCCGTCTTGGGACCAACTTGGAAACCATCGATCAAAAAAGGAGAGGTCCTTGTGAACCCTGCCCCAACGGAGCGCCAACATATCCGCGTGAAGCGGGAGAACATGAAGACAAGGAGGAGAAGGCCTCTCAGGGGCTCTCTTGGGGTTTCCCGGGGACCTGCTACGGGCTTCCTTGGGCCTTTTTGAGGGCCTTTTTGGGAGCCTCTTGGGACCTCCTGGGCAGTCTTAGGGGGGCTCTTGGCGCGTGTGACGCCGTCGGAGGCCGTCTTGGGGTCCTCTCTGGGCCCTCTTGATGCCCCCTTGGAGCGCTTTAAGGTCGTCTTGGGGCCCTTATGCAAGACTCTTGGGCGATCTTGGGGTCCTGTTGGGCCGACTTGGGGCCCTCTTTGGGGGCTTCATGGGTTGTTTTGGAGCTATATTGGAGGCATCTTGGGCCAGCTTGGATGGTCGGAAACCCAGAAGCGAGAATTTCAACATCATTGAACAATCGAACGGCAATCAATGCTTGTTGCCTCCTCGGGGGCCTCTTGGAGCTTCTGGGGGACGACGTCTTGGGGGAGTATTTTGGGGCTTCTGGCGTCAGGGCCACCGCAGGCGCGCCGCCGTCGACGAAGACAAAGAAAAAGCGCAAGGGACAGGCAACGGGGGGAGGAGGACCAGGAGGCCTAAGGGGCACCATAGGACATCGGACGCGGCGGTGGCGGACTTTAAAGCGAGCTGAGGGTCGTAAGGAGTGGAAGCGAGCGTGCGCCCGCGCCCGCGTCGGCTCAAGCGGCCGGCCGCCCAAATTTGACTGTGCCTCACCGCGAGGCACACAATCGCTATCGAGACCAAAAAGATTTTCCTATTGCTTGAGATGGCATCTCCTCTCATACTGGGACTATCGTTACTACGGTACAACAGAGCTGGAGCTTGGCTCCGCCTGAGGCGAAGCTGTTGGCTGGGCCTTCCAGCCACCTTCAAACTTGGTAGCGGAGCTGGCCTATGGTGGTCAGCTCTGGCTCTACTCCTCACCATCCAGGGCACTATCTGGTGGACTACGGATATGGTGGAACATCAGGGTGCAGTGGGATTGCGCGGAGGAGCGTACATAACTACGCAGTACCGCAAGGCAACTTGCAGCGATACCTCTGTCCAAGCGGAGGTCCCGTACTCACATCTTACATCCCTGCGTTATTACACTCCTGAAGTCCACCCACCTACTCCAATCGGAAATTTCTTCGAATACTTAATGCATGGAAACATAGGATACGATATACTGCCGCCTCCGACCCCGTGCAGACTTACGACTACAAAACATAAGTCCCCACCGACTACACCCGACTACGACCTACGAGGCCGCTGGATTGGGGTCATTATCTTTGGGCTCATATGGGTTGCTTTTGGGCGTGCGGCAGGACATGCGGGGCGGAGACGACACTAGAACGACTGGCCGCCATTGGGACCCTGCCGGTGAAGTACAATTTCGCGAGTTCGTCCGCGAAGTACATGCCAGGATCAATGGGGCCACAGGCAACATGACGCCCTCCCAGCAGGCCGCCGCATTGCACCGCGGTTTGGGAGGTCGCGCACGGACCACCGCCACGAGCGCCCCCCCAACAGTCATTAATTTTGGCGTCAATATAGGCGGTCGCCACACTGACGGCGCCACCTACATGATGTTCTTCTTAAGTACGAAGTTCGAGAACCTAGAAGAGGAAAGCCAACTCAACTCTGGCACGGCTCTCATTGACTTTCGAGTCCATGCGGGTGAACGTATCGACCAGACTTCAGCACGGTTCGAAATAGCCCGCTACGAAGCTGAAGCCGCCAGTTTCCACATCCCCAATTTCCAAATACTAACAGCAATTCTATTCAGCTTTTGGAGTGGGGACGTCGCGTGCACAACAACTCCTGCAGCCTCTGAACCACCGCAGGCCGAGGGGGCAGCCACAGTTTGACGCTCTGCTTGAACTATGAGGTCATGTGCTCACATAGCTGGGAGGACCCCTGGCAATATTGGTGGCGTCTTTAGCCGCGGCCACCGATACGAGACTTCCCACGCAGAGGCCAACGCAGGGCAACCTGCCAACAACGTCTGGAATGACGATAACAGCCAAGTCAGACCACTACACTGTTGGCTCGGAATGGTGGAGCGGCTCCGGGGTCGCAAGGCCCCTGGGCCGGATCTGGGGGGCCGCTCGACTCGGCTCCCCCTATGCAAGCTATGACCCGAATGGGCTCAGCGGGGCAACCCGCCGAGTCCGACTTCGACTCCGATGCCGATGCGGATGCGTCTTCCGATGATGAAGCCACCGCCTTGGATTACTCTGATATGCCTACATGCCATACGGAAGAGCAGCAAGCTCAATGGTTATTTTTGGTCCATCAAAAACGCAAGCGTCGTTGGCGGAGGTCCATGAAGAAACCAGTCCGAAGGGCAAGACGTATTGCACGGCGGTTACTTAAAGGAGAAGGCAAGGGTCGAAGTAAAGGCGCGGGTAAGCGTCGGCGACTACATGGTAGAGGCATCCTCGCACTCTTAGCATGAGGAAATGTTTTGAGGTGCTGGCAGAAGCCGCAGGCATACATCAGGCAAAGGTAAAGGGCGACGAGGAAACCCGAAGGATGCCAACGGTAAAACCATGGAGTGCGACATATGTCACAGTGCACAACATTCCCGACGCGAGTGCCCCAAGGTGATGGAAGAGGCAGGGGTCCGTCAACACATCTGGCTCAAACGGGCTCCGACCTGCAGTATGTTGATTGGCAGTCGCTTCTAGCCGACCCTGCCGACGGCTCAGCCATACTTCTTCATTTCATGGCTGCCAGGCATCTTTGTGCCGGCATGACCCTCGAGAATTACGCCGATGAGCTGTTCAAGGATGTGTTCACTGGCCGCGGCGACATCGACTTGGCAGAGTGGCTGGGTGCACCCATCGCGGGGCAACCTGCAGATCTTGCGTCTGTCGAGAACTTCCACGTGCCCGTCGAAGTTGATTTGGCATGGCGGGGACACCCGCGGACTCAGTTTCTAACATTCTTTCAAATGAGGAAACACATGCAATGCTGTATCATCGGGCAAGTGGAAATCCGACGAACGCGGAATTAATCGATGATGATCCACTACGGGGAAGCCCGCGCGACGTTGGTGATCTATCTGGGCGTATTCAACATGAGCTTGGGCATAATGAAGAATTTCAGTTTGCTTTTGTTGCGTCAGATCGGCCCGCCAGCAGCCCGAGACGATCGCCGAGCCGCCTGCCCTTGACGAGGAAGAGATATCATGACGACCCAAATCTCTCCCCAATGGCCGAGGAGTACGAACAGGGAAACGATGGCCGCGCGATGCGTCGCGGTCGA